TCTTGTATGGTTTTTAATTTTCAATAGTGCCATCATTGCAAAGATTATGCATACCGTATTTTCGCTCATGAGCATTATTTAGAATAATGGCTCGAATTCAGCTTAACTTGGGCCAAATTTTGAAATTATTTCGCGGTATAAATTTATTTATTAAATTTTTGTATATAAAATTTTTTAGACATAATTTTTGTAGATTTTTTTTAACTACTATCAGTAGCACAAAAGTGTAATCCTAACTACTAATTTTAAATATTACTTTTAAATAAATGCAGTACTTCGCAAATATAAGTTTATATTTTTGATTTCTATCAAACTGCATTTAGAATTAGTCATGCTAATAAAAAAGTTCAGCGGTTAACTATTAAATACAAGCAACTATGAATAAAATAGTGCTAGTTAAAAGTAATAAGAGTTTTGATTTTACTTTTGGTGGGATCGCAGCAGCAGCACCCAAGCTAAAGCGTAAACAACTGTCATACAATTTAACTATGCCAGGATAAACTGCATAATCACCTTCGAAACAAATTAATGATTGCATCATAAAAATACAATATTTAGTAGCTACTTGATAAATCCCGTTTACCACCTTTTCTTCGTCCTTTACCTTTATTTTCTGAAGATGATCCTATACTTTTTTCATCAGAATCACCAACATCAACTATATCAGAAACTGTCTTTGGCTTCCTTTTACCATATTGTACGAGTAATCTGTGCTCTATATCACCCAATTCCCAATCATGCGGCGTCAGTAAAAGATTTTCACCTTCAGCAAGATGAAGTTTATAAAAGTCTTGTGGTTGTCCTGAAGGATTTGCACCCATTTGTGACATTGCTGTCATATCACGCATACCATCTGCAGCATTATCTTCACCTAGAAGTAATGTGAATATACTTCTTAAACCAAAAAGGTTAAGGAAGTACCATGATAAGGATGAAACCCAGGTAACATCCATATCAGGAGTTTCCACACCACGTTGGAGCATAGATTTGAAACGGAGAGTAAGAGGAAAAGGTAACTTGACTGAAGGAATTAATTAAAGATAAATGAGAAAATTTAATACTAGCAAAAATAAACTAGTAATCAAGGATCAATTTCAAAATTTACTTACTCAAAACGAATCCTGAAAAAAAAAAATTTATCCATCCCATGATAATAGATTGAGGTATGATCATTAAAAAATTCTTTTTCATTCCTTCCATCATCATCTCCATTCCTGCTGGATCTGTCATTGGATTCACCGTCTGATTCATTGCAGCCGGATTTTTTAAGTATTCACCTTTTTTATATGCATTTGATAAAAAATTTTTTCGACTAGTAAAAGAACTTAGTGGAATATGATTTCCATAAGTTCGTAATGTGGCACCACGAGCTAAAATTCGTGTTTCTCTTATAGCCTTTAAGCCTGGTTTTTTTGTAGAAGCACCACCACCTAATAATACTGTAACTTGATCCCTAAGCACACCAACTAATACCATTACAACCATTATAGGGATTAAAACCCAGTCACGGATGGCTATAAAAATATTTTGGGAGGTTAGCTTCGAAAATACGTGACAAGATCTAAATTG